AATTAATGCTGTCAGACTTCCCTTATCTTTGCATGTAACCTATCATGTCGAAAAGGGACGTTCCCCTCGTCGTCAGTGGTTGTTTAACCTTTCTCGCCCCTTCCAATGATCTCTTCTGCAGTCGAGGGATCTTGTTGTGTCGACCCAGGCGAAATCAACCGTCGACGCCTCATAGGGTCGTCGCCCTAATTATGGACTTCATCTTCGGGTTCTATAGCTGATCTTGAGGAAAACGAAGCGTCGAGGGTTGGGTGCTCGGTGAAAAGTAAAGTATAGCCACGTGTCGTGACACCGTTGGTCCATGTGTCCATCACATTTTCCCACACAACAGCCACCCCCCAGGTCGAGGGCTCCTTTTTTTCGGCGGCCTCGAGCTCTAGGTTCGGTTTGTCCTTTCCGTGCTTCGGGTGTGGGAAATCAGTCCCGAATCTTCGTTCGCAATGATGGCCTGGGTGCTTTGGGTGTATAACCGTCACGTCGATTGATTTGGCATAATGATGAGTATCCGTGTTTCAAGAAAATGAATATAGGCCGTCAGATCCGCGTCTTTTCAATTTTCCGCCCTTCCTCTTACCGTCAGATACGGAGAGTGATCCCTGGCCGTTGGTCTTTTGGGGTCTTCATCCGACGGTTGGGGGCCTTCATTCCTGACTCTTTAAATACTCTCTATGGACCCGAGGATCATTTTTTCCTTCTTCGAAAACTTCAAAAAACTTTTTGCCGCTGTTTTGCCGGGACATCCGTACTTTCACCGGAACCCTGCTTGCTGAACTTCCGCCTTCGTTCTTCCCGTTCTCTGAGGTGCACTACGAAACCGTCCCGGGTTTACTTCTTCATCGCTAAGTTCCCGGATCCTTCCTCTCTTTGCGTACTCGCGGGGTTTCTCCCGTTGAGTACCAGGAATATGTAAACATATATGCAGAAAATGAGAATAAACATTTAGTTAAAGAGACTTTACTTTGTTGTATTCCGTCATACTGGATGACATGGCTTTTATATGTGCGCATTTTTTGTCTGTTTGTCTTTGGTTTCTGGGTTCTGGGGAACCCGCAGTTCCCATGAACACCCGTCGTTACCATTCTTGTATGAATGGTCGACGTTTAACCAGTCGTCGTTTAGAGCAGTCGCCGTTTATTTCTCTCGACGTTAGGGTTTTAACTTAGCTTTTTGTCCTTATTTTTATCAGAACAATGGTCCAAAGTTCACCCAGTCGAAAGGATTCTCTTTCTGTCGTCCGTTCTGACCCTCCTTCGGTGGTAGAGATCTCATGGACCTCTTCGTCTTCCGGTGTCAGCTCTGTGCTGAGGGATATCGAGGATGTCGAGGGAAGTCGACGATTTCGGCAGTGAATTCGGTAGCGTCGACCGAATGATAGACGAAGTGGTCGAGCGGATCCCTTTTACGGGGGGGAGCGTAAGCAGAGTAACCGCTGCGACGGTGGATGCCCCCCTGGCTTCCACGAGCGGAGACCCAGATAGGCCCTCCTTTACAGCCGACGATGTGGCGTCGAAGGTCCGAAATAAGGATATCATTCGGGCTGTGAAGGAGGGATGTATTGACGGGAGGTGGTTCGAGTACCTCCTCCCGGATAAGCATTTTAGGACCAGTATGCCGCCGACCGGATACCTTCCAGTCTACACAAGAGCGGTAGCTGCAGGGATGACTCTCTCAATTCATCCCTTCGTAAAAGATTATTGCCACTTTTACGGCATTTCTCCTGCCCAATTGGCGCCGAACTTCTGGTACTGCTTTGCGGGAGCCTGGATTCTATGGAGCCAGAAGTTTAACATGGAACTCCCACTGGACGAGTTCCGATTCATGTACAAATTGTGCCACGTCGCCAAGTGCGATGGGTGGTATTTTCTGAGTGGCCATGCGAAGGCTCAGCCTAGGTTTGGAAAGCTTATTCTGGGCATCCCCTCGTCATCACATGGGTGGAAGCCCATGTTTTTCATGATTCGTGGGCCTTTTAACTTCCATCCCAACGACCGCCAGCCCCGCCGAAGGCTGGTTCAGGCGGCGTTTAGA